CGGCTGCCGAGGCGCGATTCGGGCAGGAGAGGGCGACCCGCGGGGGTAAAAACGAGGCAGCGCTTGAAAATTAGGTCTGCGCGCGAAGCAACAGCAGACAGCTCAGACAGTAGACAGTAGGCAGCAGGCAGACGGCGCGCGCAGCGCAGCACGTCACAGGCACAGTCAGTCACAGTCACAGTCGTGGGGTAGCGGTAGGTGGGCCCGAAAAAAAACGGTCCTACGGACCTACTGCTCTGAAACCATGTCAGAATGAAGAGGCAGGAATGATTGACTAGGAAGCAAGGATGAGTACAAGTAGGGCAATGTCTAACCCTAAAGTGTTGTACTCAGTAGAGGCTACCCCACTACAGCCTACAACAGAGAAACATAGTTTGACAGCATGCCCCTCAACAGCCACACGCCTGTCAGCTAGCGAGCTGTCAGCGCCGCGCCAGGGGCGCGTTCATTAACAAAAACAAGTGTGATTACTATGCTAGACAAGGGTGTTTAGCTGAATCAGACTATGCAAATATAATAGTATGAAAAATCAGACTAAGCTCCAACATTCGTCTAGAAAATCAGACCAGAAAAATATGTCTGTCTGATCGTCAGACAAAACGATTTTTTACATTGGTGTTTTCAGACAGGCCCAAATCCTAGCAAGAGCCCTGGCTTGAGTTTCTTGGCCTCAGAGGCCAACACCACTGAAAGGTTCACAAAGGAACTCCAGCCCCGTGATCATCATCGCTTTTGTACACAGGTTGGTCTTGTTCCGGCATGTCCTCACTTGATTTAGTCTTGTCCTTTCTATCTTGTACTATATGTGATGATGCATATATTTATTCGAACTCCATGGTTAGGTATTTGTACTCATGCATGATATTATTGTCTCATTCATTCTATCGTTTCAACAAAAAATCATTTGAAATATATAGTGGTCATGGATTAAAACACATGTCTATAACGTTGAGAGAGTGAAAAATAATGATATTAATAGTGCACTTGTACGTGCAAATTTCAACATCAGATGTCCCATATGAAAATACAGTTTTGGGATACCATAAACAATTATTTACCCTACCTACCTTTTTCTGAACTTGTTAAGTACTTCAGTAAGTTCTTATCGTGAGAAAAAATCACCAATATCGCATCCCTGAGGAAGACGAAACGGCACATTCGACTCTTCAATCTCTCGTCGAGGCGGCTTGCATCAGGCCCCGCAATAGGTGCAACGGTAACGTCAGCGCTGCTGCCATGCTGCTGCTGGGGAAGCCCAAGCGAACTGGCTGGAAGAGCCTCACAGCTTTCGGAAACTGACCATTCGGAAACGCACAGCCTCCTCCCAGCAGACCTCGTCCTACATGCATGTAAGAAAATTTCTGGAATGATTGTTTTGCTTATTTTTGGGGGGTCATCCAGCATGACTCTTCGGTTCCCTCCAACTGTCGTTCCTGATGGTACGGTTAGGAAGGAACATGTCACACCCTGCTTCTGTATGACCTGTCACCCTCTCCCGTTCCATGGTGGCCTGCGCGTGACCAGCGCGACGGACTCGATTTTCCAGCTCATATTTATACGACACGCACAGAACGAGCTTCTCGTATTCGGTAACATCGATTCCTGGCGTCCTCTCATCCCCGGCACGTTCTTGTGCTCTAGCAAAGGCGTTTCATCGCCAGGTTCCTCCTCATCCGGCGGACAAGAAACAGGCCTTCTCGTCGCCATGGGGCAATTCTTGGCGCACAAGACGCACCGCTGTCTCTCCGTGCTCTCGTTGCTGCTCCTTGCAGCAATCCTTGCGTCAGGTACTGACCTGGATCCTCGTGATCCCACGAGTATGGTTTCACGTGAAGTACGGGAGTCCGGTGCACCTGGTGCCGGGAACGAGCGAAAAGAACCACTTTCCGTGCCATTTTGCCGAGTTCCCGATGCTATTATCAAGTAAATCCTGCAATAATTATCGTTCACTCATGGCTTTCCGATTCTGCCAAATCCACCATATATCCTTGCCATTCGCTGATGGCGATTCAAAGTTAGTTTCTTTTCGAAATTCCCTGCGAATCCTCTCAACCGCCTTCCACTCTTAACGTCTCCACGCACCCGTGTATAATTCTCCTCATCCTGTGGTTCTTGCGGCCCCGTCTACCAGACACGGCAGCAGCATCGCAGCCGCCAGAGGTGACTGGGAAGCAGGAGAAGGACGTGACGCAGCTACAGATAGGCGTGAAGGTACGTTCAAGTAGAGTGCAACGTCAGTAAGAATCAGCGCATGACATAGCAAATCGGTGATTCTGGGAAGGCAGAATTTCCCAGTCGCTAATGTGCATGCCTGTGTGTGTTGGTCCTCCAACTGATTGAAATCTTGCATGCATCTGAGAAATCCAGTCAGACGTTTGCACCATTTTGCGTTCCCATCCTTCCTTTTGATGACGTGTTCTCCCCTTTCTCCCGTTTTCCATCCCCTTGTGCCATCCCCCTCATGTCCTTTCTTGCTACCCCTCCCCACTTCCCCCCCCCATGCCTCCCGTCCTGGCTGCGTGTGTGAGCAGTTCAAGCCCAAAAAGTGTGGTGCGACAGCTCACCTCAATGACCGAGTGAAGGTTCACTACAGGGTGCGTGCGTGCATGCGTGCGTGCATGCGTGCGTGCATGCGTGTGTGCATGCGTGCGTGCATGTGTGCGTGCATGAATCGCGTGCATGCCTGTGCCTCTCTGCCCTCTCTGCTCTCTCTGCTCTCTGTTCTTAAATGTTGCAACAAATGCACCTATTCCTGTTTTCTAGTCTCATCCCCAGACAACTCAAGTTAACTTACCTGTCCCCCCTCTGCTCCCGCTGCTCCCTTTTCTCCGTCCGCCACCCACATTTTGAAATTAACAACACACGGCTACCAGGGCTTCTTGACGGACGGCCGGCAGTTTGACAACACACACGACCTGGACAAACCGGTGGAATTCCGAATCGGTGCAGGCAGCGTGATAAAAGGTGCCACTGCGCTACAAAAACTCTGCCACTAGCCAACTTTCTCCCTCTAGCCTCCCTCACGCCCTCACTCCTCCTTTCTCTCCCTCCATCCCTCCGTCCCTCTATCCCTTCCTTCACGTATCCGTTACCTTCGACCATCTCCACTCCCACCCCTCTATCCCGCTATCTGCTGCTCGTAAAGCTCCTCCGGGAGTATAGACCGACCGGGCTGTCCTTCCCGTTCCATCTCCCGCTCTTCCCCCTTTCATGGTCTCCTCACTGCCGCCTCGGCGACATTCCGTGCGTGCCTTCCCTATTCCCGCTTCCTCTATTCTCACGTTCTCTGTTCTCACGTCCTCTTTTCTCCCCGCACTTCGTCTCTTAATCCACCCCCTTGCCTCGCTCTCCCCTCGTTTTTCCCCGTAGGAGAACGGCGTGGGCATGTGTCTGAGGGAGAAGCGCAGGCTTTAATCATCTCACCCGCCACTTCCCCCTCCCCCATCCACCTCCTTCTCTCCGCCCATCCCCTCCCCCCCCACCCCTTCCCCCCCCATGTCCTTTTACCTGCGCAGGTTGGGAGAACGGCGTGTTGGGCATGTGCCTGGGGGAGAAGCGCAAGCTCAAGATCCCGCCGCACCTTGGGTACGGCGACGAAGGCCACGTGTACGGCATTCCACGTGAGTTGCCTGCGCGATCCCGCACCTGTGTCGCTAATCAACATTTGGGGATATTTATGAACACAGATGATTACTTGCGACGATCTAACCGATCATCTAAGCGAAATTAAAATGTCGTTAGCAGTGAACTGCCACCTGACCCATTCTCCCTATATTCCCCGTGTTCCATTCATCCGTCCATGTTCATGCATACCCGTCATACCGCGTGCGCCCATACGACGTCGCCCTCGAATCGCTGAATAACGGCTACTACAGCGGGCGCGACGATCATCTTCGACGTGCAGCTCGTGGGGCTGGAGATAGCGCGGAAGAAGCGGTCCCGCGCGACGGCTTAAAACCCTCCGCTCTGCGTACTAGCGATGCTCGCTCACTGGATACTGGATACTAAAGCATCTAGGCGAAACTTGATGTTGCGAGCTACTCTTGATAGGTTGGTTTGGCGATTATGAAGATGTGGGTGCTGCTGGTTCTCGTGGGTGCTGTTGATGATTGGTGAATTAGGGAGACACTTCGTACAGTGTTCATTATAGTGTGCTTATACGATGCTATTCCGTTGATGGGTGTAATGTAAAGACTTGTTATGAGATTTGACTTTTGTGAGTGTTTTCCAGCAAAAAAACTGTGCATTGGATGACACCTTCGCTTGTGCATTGGAGTATTTACATGATTTTCCCTAAAACCCTTACCGTATTTCCCCACTTGATGCTGGTGATGGTAGTATTCAATGCGCGCTACCCACAACTCAACCTGTAGTGCACACTCTGTTAAACATCCGAATGATATTCTAGATTATTGCTGATATGCTCATTAATTGTAAAGTCCTGCTGCCGACAAAGGTACCTCCTTGCTCCTCCCCTCACAAACTAGACTGTCCCAGCAACTGACCAGCCCTTGGGTTTCCCTTATGTGCTTAATCTGTTGGTTGGGAGAAACTGGAGCACCGGGAATAAAACATGATCCGTGCATTGGCCGCAACCATCTTTTCCGCCATCACGATCGTGTCAGCACGGGCTGGCGCGGGAATAGTTACCTTGGAAAACGCAAAAGCAGGATCGTTTACAATGTCCAATCGCACAAGAGTGATCCCGTGGACTACTAGCAAGCGTGAGAGGACGTTTCCTTGCTTCTCCCCTGCATCTGAGCACAGCACGAGCATCCGAATGGGTTGCCATTCTGAGCTTTCTCTCAGGCACGAACCCTTTCCGCCAATCACGGATTCTGTTGCACCCATCTGGAAAGCCGCACCCGCAGCAGCTGCTGCCGCAGCGGCGTTAGCAGCCGCTATTGTTTCCGCGACATACTCTGCGATAGTTTCCATTGGAAAATAGTCCGCCTTCGCACCTCGATACCCACGAAACCGCAAGTAAAAGTCCCCCCATCTCAGGTGAAGAGCAGCAAAATCCGGCCCTGTGTATTCCTGCATGAACCGCGCAGCTGCAGCCACGGCACTTGTCGGCGGAGTGGAAATGGGCAGTCGGTGGGGAGAATATCCCGCGAAAGAAACGACCCTTCCTGTCGGATTTCACTCGTGTCGATGTAAAATAGATCCCCCAGGCTCAGCACAGACGCATTGGAAGCCTGAGGGAGGGCCTGGTGCAAGCGGGAGGGGAGATCTGCGAGACGACCAGCGGGGAGGTCGATGGTGGAATGACCGGATGGGAAGGCTATGGGGATGAGCTTAGGGTTGTTGCACGCGGAGAAGCCTGGGCAGCTTTCGGGCGGAGGGTCTTTGACAAGGCCACATGCTATCAGATCGACTGTGAGCTTGGTGAGGTGATTTGATTCCAGGTATTGCTGTAGCGTGACCACGCCAGGCCCCGCACCCGGCGCCATTCCCCTTGGTTTGCCTTTTTTCCCAGCCCCTCCGAAGCACGCGCTGAGGTGATCCAGGTCGACGGAATTGGCGAGGTTATATTGCGCATGGTGGAAGCGACTGCGCGGGCAGACGTCTAGTGGCGGCACGATGAGCGTGCGGTTGAGAAGCATGGCGACCAGCAGCGACTTGTGCAGGCACTCATGGCGATTCGTTAGCCGTCCTCTTACGCACGTCGCTAGGAGGTATTTCCCCGGCCAGCGAGCCCATGGCACTGGTCGTGGGAAGCTCGGGTCGGCTTCTGCGTACGGCGACGCGGCGCTGTTGGCGCGTGTGGTGTTGCGTGCGCATGATATGAGAACCTCGGAGTTGTCGGGAAGAGTGTGGCGGGTCGACGCGGCGCCGCTGGAAACGAAAGGTCGAGAGGAGGGATAGCTGGGTCTGATGCTCAGCAGGCTGCTGAACGCGAAGCGGGGACTTCGCGCGGATGTGACTGAATCGAAAGGGGAGAATGCCGAGGGGAAGCTGAGAGTGAAGAGGACTATGCAGAGGAGCGCGACGACGAGGAAGTAGCCGAGAAGCTTCCGGCGACGGGTGCGTCGATCCTCCTCGTCCGCTCGTTCCGCGAGCTGGCGCAGCTTCGCCTCCACGTTCCATGCGCTGCTGCTAGTACTCTGAGCGCTGGCCATGGTATTTGTAGAACTAGCAGTGCTAGGAAGGACTGATTTGGTCACCCAGGGACTGAACGGCAGCGCGTGAGTCCGCTGTGCCGCGCGAACTCGCAGCACAGATGAGCAAGGATAACGAGGACTTTACCTGCATCGCAGCCTGATTGCTGAGTTGTACGGCAGCTCGATTGCCTTGCCACATATCACTCAGCAGGGCCGAAGCGCGTAAGGAGGCCATTGTAAAAGGAGATTTGTGCGCTCGCGATGATTGGCTCACTAAAATATCTAGTTTGAACCGAATATGCGATTTTGGTCTGGTGGGACGGCGGATAAATGTGTGTGCTGCGAGCGAACTGCGATTCCGCCGGCTGCTGCAAGTATTGCATGAATGCTGCTGGCTTCCCAAATCCCTGTTCTGGTCTCGCATCGCATCAGTGTTGCGCTCAGAACCTCACAGCACAGCACAACGGGTGCAGCAGAAAGCTTCGAAGCCGTGCTTGCTAGGTGAGGGCTGGAGTCCCGCGACATCCACCTGACCACGAACAGAACGAAGACCCCGTACAGTACTGCATTACGCAATCGAAATGGGGTCAACCCTAACAGGGGTGTTTGCCGCGAGCAGGTGCGCCGCGCCGCAGAAAGAACATAAAATGACTCGTCACTTCTTTCGTGACGTAACCTACACGGAAAAGCTCGAAACCTGGATTGTAAAGAAGGGGGGTACAAGTCGGTATCTCGAGAGAAGTGCTGTACCTGATATTATGCATCTCACTACAGCCTAACATATTTCACTCTGTAAAACCTCCGGATGATATTCTAGATTATTGCTATGCTAATTAATTGTAAAGTCCTGCTGCCGACAAAGATACCTCCTTGTTCCTCCCCTCACAAACTATGCTGTCCCAGCTAACTGACCAGCCCTAGGCTTTCCCTTGTATTCTTGATCTGCTGGGAGAAACTGGAGCACCATGAATAAAACATTATCCGTGCATTGGCCGCAACCACCTTGTCCGCCATCACGATAGTGTCAGCACGGGCTGGTGCAGGGATATTTACACCGGAAAACGCAAAACCAGGATCGTTTACAACGTCCAATCGCACAACAGTAATCCCGTGGACTGCCAGCAAGCGTGAGAGGACGCTTGCTTGCTTATCACCAGCATCTGAGCAGAGCACAAGCACCCGAATGGGTTGCCATTCCGAGCTCTCTCTTAGGCACGACCCTTTTCCACCAATCACATACCCTGTTGCATTGACTTGGAGAGCTGCACCAGCAGCGCCACCCCCTGCTGCGGCAGCGTTAGCAGCAGCTAGAGTCTCTGCGATGTATTCTGCAATAGTTTCCATGGGAAAATAATCCGCCTTGGCACCCTGAGACGACTGAAACCGCCGGTAATAGTCCCCTCGTCTCAGATGCAGAGCAGCAAAGTCCCGCCCTGTGTATTCCTGCATGAACCACGCAGCTGCAGCCACCGCATTGGGCGACGGCCGGAGCGGGAATGGACAGTCGGTGGGAAGGATATCTCGAGAAAGAAACGACCCTTCCTGTCGGATTTCACTCATGTCGATGTAAATTAGATCCCCCAGGCACAGCACAGACGCATTGGAAGCCTGAGGGAGGGCTTGATGCAAGCGGGAGGCTAGGTCTGCGAGCCGGCCGGCAGGGAGGTCGATGGTGGAATGATTCGATGGGAAGGCTATAGGGTTGAGCTTAGGGTTGTTGTTGCACGCGGAGAAGCCTGGGCAGGCTTCAGGTGGAGGGTCGGGCGAGAGGCCACAGGCAAGCAGGTCGACCTTGAGCATGACGATATGATTTGATACCAGGTACTGCTGTAGCGTGACCACGCCAGGCGCCATTCCCCCTTTATCTGCTGCTGCTGCTGCTGCTGCTGCTGCTGCTGCTGCTGCTGCTGCTGCTGCTGCTGCTGGCGCCGCCGCCGACGCCGCTGCTCCTTGAGTGCCGACTCCCCCGCTCCCCCCAAAGCACGCGCTGAGGTGATCCAGATCGACGGAATTGGCGAGATTGTACTGCCCGTGGGAGAAGAAAGCGTGTGGGCAGACGTCGAGCGGCGGCACGATGAGCGTGCGGTTGAGAAGCATCGCGACGAGCAGCGACTTGTGCAGGCACTCGTGGCGGTTCGTCAGCCGCCCTCTCACGCACGTCGCTAGCAGGTATTTCCCCGGCCGGGGAACCCATGGCACTGGTCGTGGGAAGTTCGGATCGGCATTTGCGTGCGTCGCTGCGTTGGCGCGTGTGGTGTTGGGTGCGCATACGAGAACCTCGAAGTTGTCTGGAAGAGTGTGAGTCGACGTGGCGCCGCGGGACAGGAAAGGCGGAGAGAAGGGATAGCTGGGTCTGCTGCTGCTGCTGCTGAACGGGCCGATGAAACTCTTCGCGGATGGGAATGAATCGGAAGGTGAGAATTCCGCCGAGGGGAAGCTGAGAGTCAGAAGGACGACGCACAGGAGCGCGACGACGAGGAAGCACCAGAGAAGCTTCCGGCGACGGGTGCGTCGATCCTCCTCGTCCGCTTGCTCCGCCAACTGGCTCAGCTTCGCCTGCACGTTCCATGAGCTACTACTTCCAGCGCTGGCCATGGCACTACTAGCAGTACAAGCAGTGCCAGGATGGGCTGACTCGGTCACCAGGGACGGAACAGCAGCGCGATCTCGCGCGGAGGAGCAAACAACAACGAGGAGCCTTTACATGATGGCTCGCAGCTTGCCTACGTTGTACCTAAAGCGGCAGCTCGAATGCCACTCAGCTGGCCGATTACATGGTTATGGCCGTAAAGAGGCTTTGAAGGAAATCGCGAATACTCGCTCAATGGATACTACAAACTATTTTTTTGGTTCCAGTTCGGCATGGCACCAATTTTTGGGGAATAATTGCGCGGCGCGTCCGTTTTTGATTTTCCCTCAATCCTGTGGAGTACCCTCGCACCATGTTCCCCCCTTTCTGATACAATTGATGCCTGTTTGAGCCCCTCCCGGTTGCCTTGTGAAGGGGGCGTATAAGCTGAATCTAGCATTTCGCATAAGTTTCGTCAATTCGCAGCTAGCTAAAAAGGATTCGCAGGTGCTTATATTAAGGATATGTAACCTTATCCATTGACATTTTGACTTCAGTCTCTTCAGTCTGACTTCGGTCTGTTCGTAACTATTGGTCCATAACCACGCGACGCGCTTGTATCGTGGGTGCAACAGGCTGGGGAAAAGACCTCGGGTGCAGCGTTTCCATCCGGTGCAGGGCAAATTCGCGTGCACTGGTTGGGCATCATGTGTATCTCTCAATCCCGTGGAGTTCCACATGCGTTTACGCGATATGTTTATACTTCTTCATGAAAGAGTGATGGGATTTTTCTGTTGAAAGTTACGTTCTCACACCAGGCATGGTTTTCCCTACAGTGCCGTCTATTTTGTCTCTTAGTCAGGTGCGCGAATCCATGCGTGTCGTTCGGATTGGTCCACATGTAATGTATTAATGAGAGTTTGTCTCCTTTGTCGGTGTGTAATGATTGCGCGGTACAGTTGTCGTTACACTGATGTAAGTGGCAATTGAAATATCTGGTTTAGGGTGTCAGCGGGACAGCACAGCATGTGTTAGTCATTTGGCGCCATTGATGCTGCCTTTGTAGCCAATTAGCGCATACCAATTGGCGATCGCATAACGACTCAGTGCATGCACTCACCCGATCTATGCTGAGTTCGAATCCTTTGACGTGTCGCCCGTGAATGTCCCGTCAACTCCACCTCCCACAATGCTCCCGTGGTTCTCACTTAGGGTTTCGGGTTGGAGGAGGTTTACTTTCAGGTTCATAGTCACGCATCTATTTCGTGACTCCCACTCCGAGGTTTATTTTCTGGTTCTTAGTCACGCATCATATTTCGTGACTCCGCCTCCATTCCTTTTCTCACGCACCCGCTGCGCGAGTTTTTAGTGAAGCCCGAGTTAGTGGTTAGTTGGCTTTCATAAGCATGTCTCAACCAGCTAAGAGATTAACTCGACACCGCGCGCAGGCGGTTCCCGCTACGTCCGCTCCGCTATCTAAATGGGGAGCCAAGGGTAAGCAAGAGGGGGCGGAAGGTTTGGGAACCTCCAGCGACGATTTCGAGATTCCCGTTACCATTGAAGGCGACACCGAGCTCCCGGAGCCCGACGACATCATATCTCGCTTCGCAAAAGGTGTGCGCGTTCCGGCATCTCCAAGCGCAGAGCTCCCCGCATCACTTAGAAAGAACAACTACTTCCCTACACCTACCATCACGAATCATCTGGGGCAGAGCGCCAGGTTGGGGATGCTGGATGCGCTCCGCATACAGGACGGCTACGAGATCCCAACCTCTACAATCGTCTTTCATAACGTGTAAGATTGGCGGCTGCTTTCAACGTTGTTTTTTTATTGCAACACTGAGTTCCCATATTACCGCGTTTGTGTCATGCAGGGTTCTTAGCCTTGAGCACCGTAAGCTCCACAACGAGAAAACGTGGCTTGCGCTGGATAGCCTTGCTTTCCAGTCAATCACAAGCGGCCAGTCGGTTGCATGCGGCATCCCCTCCGAGAAAATCTTCGAATACGACTACATATGCATCGTTATCTGGAACGAGTAAGCGAGGGGTCTTATAACGTGCCGTGTACACAAGGCCCGTGTTTCCTGCAGTGGATTTCTCGGACATTGCCTAACCACACATGTCACCTTTATATCTTTTGCCTACCTTGCAGGAAACCACTACCAAGGCATTACAACCTTGTGGTTGTAAAGGACGCGGGCCTGTTGCTGAAAACCGACGAGGAGTTTAAGGTTTGCTCCCAAGACGTGGTGCCAACAGCTTTTCTATTCGACTCGACAACGTTCCACGTGTCGATGAAGGAGACCATATTTTCGAACGTCAACTTGTGAGTGTGACTAAGAAGCATAGGCGATGTTGACAAGCCGTTAAAGCGTGTGTATGTCATTTAATACTTTTGTTTCTTTTTGCACCCTCGTCACCCCATGAGCAGACTTCTCGGTAGAGCCTTGAAGAAAGCTTTGCCGGAACTGTCCGGTGCGGATGTCTACCGCCGCCTCTCACGCGTCCACAGCCGGCCTCTGCACGTAAGTTTCGCAACAATTTTAGGGCAGTTACAAACTCCAAAGAGGTGCGGGTTTTAGTTGATAAGTGTGCCTAGGGTTACCGTAATTTGAAAAATCCTTTGTTTGTTTGTTTCCCACTACTCGAAGGTCCCTCAACAGGTGAACAAGGTAGACTGCGGTGTTTACGTCTGCATGTTCATCAAGGAGCTGGTGCACCGCTGTTTCGAGGACATGGATATGGGCATCCACCCGTCTTACGGCGGGGATCAGTACCGGCGGGACATGCGGAGTTTGGCTTGCCAGGCTGGCCAACGACAACTGCTGGAGAGTCTGCGGATCAAGGGTGTGGTTCTCCCGCCGCAACATCAGTCGGACGACGACCGGGACGATGACGTGATAGAGTTGGACTTCGACATCGAGACAAAGGTGAAGGACTTGGTCGCGTCCGACAACATGCACGGGGCGCAGATCGCCAGCGCCCTCAAGGATATCGAGGACCTGAAGGACCAGCTATTCACATGGGGTTCGAGTCACGATGCGCTGTCGGACACCGTGTCACAACTCAAAAAGGGGTTCGAAATGCTAGCGGCTAGAATCGGGTGTGTTACGCAGGGTCTGGACCAAACCGACGAGGTCGGTGCATCGGGTGGTGGTGCAGCACGAACGGTCCAACAGCCTAACAGCCAGACTGGACAGGCAGCAGATACGGGAAACATGCCTACATCGCCGCCCGCCACGGTCACCTGGCCTGCAGCACACAGTTCACCAGTCCATGTTCAGGGTCCGCCTCCTGGACAGTGGGGGAATGTGCAAAACAGGACGTTGCCCACGTCTCGATTGGGCGAGTTGCCGGTGCTGACTCAAGGTGCTGTTGCAACACCAGGGGGGATCACAGCTGTCGCTGCTGCAACAGCAGGGTTGATCCCGGGTGCGGGAGTTGCAACTGCAGGGGGGATCCCGGGTGCGGGTTGCGCATCATCAGGCGGGATTCTTGGTGCGGGCGTGTCACTGGCAGGGTTCCTCCCGGGTGCGGGAGTGGCAACAGCAGGCGGGATACCGGGTGCGGGAGTTGCAACGGCTGGCGGGATCCCGGGAGCGTGCGTGTCAACATCTGGCCCGCGCCCGGTGGCGGGAGTTGCACCAGCAAGCGAGATGCCCGGTGCGGGAGTGGCGGCAGCAGGCGGGATACCGGGTGCGGGAGTTGCACCAGCAAGCGAGATGCCCGGTGCGGGAGTGGCGGCAGCAGGCGGGATACCGGGTGCGGGAGTTGCACCAGCACGCGAGATGCCCGGTGCGGGAGTGGCGGCAGCAGGCGGGATACCGGGTGCGGGAGTTGCACCAGCACGCGAGATGCCGGGTTCGGGAGTGGCAACAGCAGGCGGGATCCCGGGTGCGGGAGTAGCAACAGCAGGCGGGATCCCGGGTGCGGGAGTAGCAACAGCAGGCGGGATCCCGGGTGCGGGAGTAGCAACAGCAGGCGGGATCCCGGGTGCGGGAGTAGCAACAGCAGGCGGGATCCCGGGTGCGGGAGTAGCAACAGCAGGCGGGATCCCGGGTGCGGGAGTAGCAACATCAGGCGGGATCCCGGGTGCGGGAGTAGCAACAGCAGGCGGGATCCCGGGTGCGGGAGTAGCAACATCAGGCGGGATCCCGGGTGCGGGAGTAGCAACAGCAGGCGGGATCCCGGGTGCGGGAGTTGCAACTGCAAGCGAAATGCCGGGTGCGGCCGTTGCAACTGCAGGCGGGATCCCGGGTGTGGGAGTTGCATCAGCAGGCGGGATCCTAAACGCTGGAGTTGCAACTTCACGGATGCTCCCGGGTGTGGGAGTTGCTTCAGCAGGCGGGATCCCGGGTGCAGGAGTTGCAACATCGGGGTTGCTCCCGGGTGTGGGAGTTGCAACAGAAGGCGTGATCCCGGGTGTCGGCGGGCGCGAGGGTGAGGGAGTTGCAACAGCTGGCGGGATGCCGGCCTCGGGAGTGGCGACAGCATCGGGCAACCCACCTGCCGGTGTTGCAACAGCATTGGGGTTCCCAGCTACTAGTGTTGCAACATCTCGGGGGATCGCAGGAGCGGAAGTTGCAACAACAGGGGGGATCTGCAGGGGAAATCCCGTTCCGCGAGAAACCCTGCAGGGTCACCGCTCTTCGGACGCGACCTTTTGTGAAGCTGGCTCGAGTGTTCCTGCATGGCAGTTACCGCTCACCTCAAATCTTCCCACTGCCACTCATGAACCAGCGCCCAATCACGCCTTCGGCGCTGCACATGCAGGTGCAGGAAGCGTCGCACCATCCCCGACATGCAGCTTCTCCGGGTTAGGTGCGCAGAGCAATCGAGGGCCAGCAGCGTCGGAGAGCATGTCACGCCTGCAGAGCAAGGGGGGCAAGGCGGATATCATAAAGTCCCAATACACCGGGGTCACGAGGTTGAGTACGAGCATCACTTGGATGGCAAAAATAATTCTCCAGAGGAAGACGAACTCGCAAACGACCATCAGCAGCAAGTTTAGATCGGATGTGGAGGCGGCACGTGCATACGCAGCTGGGTGGCATGTGGTATGGGGAGATGATCCATACAAAGGCAACTTGATCGAGTTATCAGAAGCGGACTTGGAAAAGATCCAGGATTGTGACGCCCAAAAGTGTAAGTTGATGATAGAGCAGAAATTTTGGCACCGATGGGAGAACTGGAGGCTAGCCTGGGATGAGCGCAAGGTAAAACTGGCGGAGAAGGAGCGTAAGGCTGCGGTGAAACGTGCTGAGCTTCAGCAGGTGTTGTCTCCGACAGAGGATCGCCCAACCAAAATGGCTAGAACGGGGGATGAGCCACAACACGATGCACCTGGCTCGTCTGCAAGGAATGGCCAAGAAGGAATGGGTACTAATGGTTAGTATTCATGGTCTTAGGGTTCCGTTTGGGGATGTATTTTGTGTGTTCTTATTAGTTTACAATAACTGCATGAAGTAATATAGGGTTAGCGCAAGGGCCTGTATGTTAGGGCTAGCGACAAGCCCCATCCACCAGAAAAACCCCCATGGAAATCCCGTAATGTCGTTAAGTGGAAATCCAGCCACGGCCGTTAAGGCCGTGTCACTGGTCCGTTAGACCCACGCATGCTTCAAAGATGCCCTCGCGACGGTCCCGTCATAACCCCGTCACACTCCCGTTAAGACAGTGTCACTGGTCCGTTAGACCCACGCATGCTTCATAGATGCCCTCGCGACGGTCCCGTCATACCCCCGTCACACTCCCGTTAAGACCGTGTCACTGGTCCGTTAGACCCACGCATGCTTCATAGATGCCCTCGCGACGGTCCCGTCATAACCCCGTCACACTCCCGTGAAGGCCGAGTCACGGGTCCGTGAGACCCACGCATGCTTCATAGATGCCCTCGCGACGGTCCCGTCGTAACCCCATCACACTCCCGTGAAGGCCGAGTCACGGGTCCGCGAGACCCACGCATGCTTCATAGATGCCCTCGCATCGGTCCCGTCGTAACCCCGTCACACTCCCGTGAAGGCCGAGTCACGGGTCCGCGAGACCCACGCATGCTTCATAGATGCCCTCGCGTCGGTCCCGTCGTAACCCCGTCACACTCCCGTGAAGGCCGAGTCACGGGTCCGCGAGACCCACGCATGCTTCATAGATGCCCTCGCGTCAGTCCCGTCGTAACCCCGTCACACTCCCGTGAAGGCCGAGTCACGGGTCCGTGAGACCCACGCATGCCACAAAAGTTCAAGCGCGACGGTTCCGTCATACACCCGTCACACTCCCGTTAAGGCCGTGGCACGGGTCCGTGAGACGGGGATTTGACGTGTGAATGATTGGCTACCTAAATCAGTTCGTGAATGCCCCGTCTAAGTTCCGTTATGTCCCCGTCACCGTTACGGGCGCACACTGTATATTTTAGTGATAACCGCATCAATGTCCCGTCATAACCCCGTTATGGTGTAGGGCACTTTTTGTGAAGTGGTAAACTGTCCCGTCATGTACCCGTCAACTCCCATATCCATGGCCTGCACCACCCCCAGCAGCACCACTCCCAGCTCCAACCACCGCTAACCACTTCCTGCGGCACCACTCCCAGCAGCACCACTCCCACCACACTGCCCAGCAGCACCAGTCCCAGCAGCACCACTCCCACCACACTGGCCAGCAGCACCACTCCCAGCACACTGCCCAGCAGTACCACTCCCAGGACCATGCCCAGCAGGGCCACTCCCAGCACCATGCCCAGCAGCACCACTCTCAGTAGCACCACGCCCGGCACCTGACTCAACAGCACCACTCCCAGCACCACTCACAGCAGCACCTCTCCCTGCACCTCTCCCAGCACCTCTCCCAGCACCTCTCCCAGCACCTCTCCCGGCACCTCGCCTACCACCTCTCCCAGCACCACCCCGAGCTCCTCTCCCAGCACCACGCCCAGCTCCTCTCATGTCGCCACGACCAGCCACACTCCCGGTACCTCTTCCAGCACCGAGCCCATCCCCTGTCCCGGGACCTGTCTCCGCTCCGCTCACAGCAGCACTCCCAGCTCCATGCCCTGGACCAGTTCCAGCTCCATGCCCCGCACCACGCCCGGCACCTCTACCCGCACCACTGCGGAGATAACTGCAGCAACGGGAGCTAGGCTGCGGGCTAGGCACGGTGCTCGTGTGATCTCTGCGTTCGTTCGTTCCTTAGTCGTTTCCTTGTGCGCACACACTTGCTAGTTCACGGGGAAAGTTGGCAAGAGTTTCACTAGGAAAAAAGTTCAGAACAATGGTTAGCAACAACATTGGCAACACAGACTACATCAGAGCTAGCTAGGCAGCATGGTCAACCGCGCTCCAGCGCAGCAGCGCTCGCACCGCTCCAGCGTTGCAGAGTAGTGGTGCGCCAACGTTGCAAGTCCATGGCATGCCAATGCTGCAGCAAGTCGGCTGCACAGCGTTGCACCCTCAGAACAACGGTGCACCTGCTTCGCAGGTGCACGCAGCTGGTTGGTGCACTCGTCCTTGTCACGTGCATAGCGCAGACGCCTGGCAGACTCCACGCCAGCAACTGCGCCCACCAGCCGCGTCGACCTCGGGATACCACCCCCGAGGTCGGCCTCGCAGACTCCACCCCGGCGACACTCGCGCACGTCGCCTGGGTATCCCGGTCGACCGGGCAACCGCGCCTGGTCGACCAGCTCAGTCCAGCCGGCCACACACATGCCCGGCGTCCCCAGTCCGGCGTCCAGACGCCCAGGACGCCGTCCAAACTCCCAGGTCGGCGTCCAGACGCCCAGGACGCCGTGCAGACGTCCAGGGCGGCGTCCAGCCTCCCAGGACGCCAACCAGGCGTCCAGGTCAGCGTCCGGGCCCCCAGGACGCCGTGCAGACGCCCAGGTCGGCGTCCAACCTCTTGGGACGCCGTGCAGACGCCTAGGTCGGCGTCCAGCCTCCCCTGACGCAGTCTAGGCGCCCAGGACGGCGTCCTCCTGCTCGGCGCCCTCCAGTCAGGCGCCCTCCATCTCGGCGCCCTTGCAGTGGCCCCCGTGCCCACTGCTGTTGGTCGGCTGCACCCCCCGTACGCTCGACCACAAGGTCGGCTCCGCCCAAGCGAGGACGGGGCCACACAACACTCCCGTTGACACTCCCCTGCCGCGTTCACGCTTGGGCCCCAGCCCACACGGCAACACTGCTCGGAGAAACGCTAAGCGGCGTGCACACAACACACAGCACGCCGATCACCGCACCAGCCATGCAAGAGGGCATGGCACCTACTGCTGCACATCGTCGTCGCCGTCGCCCACGTCGGCCAAGCGCACCTGGCCGATTGCGACGGAGCACCGGTTGAAGGCCGGATAGTGCAGCGCCTTTGTCAGGAAGTCGGCCGGCTGCTCAGCGGTCAGGATGTACTTCAGCGAGAACTTCCCGCGCTTCACCATGTGCTGCAGCCAGGCCTGTCGCCGCTCCATGTGCTTGAGGTTGCCCGTCAACCCCATGCCCCCGGTGACCGTGATGGCCGACTTGTTGTCCACTCGCAGGACAGTCGGCTTCCCGGCGTCCAGCTGCCGGAACTCTGCAAGGAGGAAGCGAAGGCGGCGTCCCTCCTTGCCGGCTTCAGTGGCCGCCACATACTCCGACTCGGTCGACGACAGCGTCGCGCACTTGATGTGCTGGCTCGACCAGGAGACTGCGGCCCCTCCGTAGATGAACACATAGCCGCCTGTGCTCGTCCGGCTCTGCTTGTCACCGGCGTCGTCGGCGTCCACGTAGCCGACCAGCTCCAGCGACTCTGGCCCACCGCCGAACTCCAGGGCGGTGTCACGCGTGTTGGCGAGGTAGGCGAGGCTGCGGTCGACCTCGCGCCAGTGCTGGTCGCTCCTCACCGTGAGGCCGCTCCCCAGCTTGCTGCAGGCGAAGGCGACGTCCGGCCTCGTCGTCGTCGCTGCGAACTGCAGCGAGCCGACCTTCTGCCGGTACTCCTCCTCCTGGCGTTTCTGCGCCTCCTCGTCGTCGAAGGTGAGCTCGGCGTAGGCGTCGACCGAGACCGGCGTCTTCGGAGTGCGCCCGGTCTGCTCCTCGTCGATGAAGCGCCTACGCAGCTTGTCGGCGTAGCCCTGCTGGTGCAGCCACAGCTTCCCCGCCGACCTGTCGCGGACGATCTCCAGCCCGAGGTACTTCTGCACCGGCGAGATCTCCCGCAGCTCGAAGGCGGCTTCCAGCAGCGCCTTCAGCTCCTGCAACATCGCAGCGCTGCTGCTGGCGGCGAGCAGGTCGTCGACGTAGACCAGCACCCAGCAGGCCACTCCGTCGTCGCCGACCTTGAAGTAAAGAGCCTCGTCGACCTGGCTCTTCTTCCACTCGGCGCCGACCAGCACGTCGTTGAGCGCCAAGTACCACAGCAGCGGCGACTGCTTCAGGCCGTACAGGCTCTTCAACAGCTTGCACACCCGGCCGGTTCCGTCGTTGAAGTAGTCCGGCTGGGACATGTACAGCACCCGGTCGAGCTTGCTCTGCAGGAAGGCGTTCTTCATGTCGAGCTGCATCAGGTTGAGGTTGAGGACGGCAACGATGCTGAGGAAAATCCTCAGCGTGACGTAGCTGCCCACCGGCGCGAACGTCCCGTCGTAGTCGGCGCCGTACACCTGGGTGAAGCCCTTCACGACCAGCCTCGCCTTCTCTCGCTCGACGGTGTCGTCGATGTGGTACTTCGTCGTCAACACTTACCGGTTCTTCATGATGTTCACTCCCGGCGGGCGTTCGACCAGCTCCCACGTGCCCATGTTGATGAGGCTGCGGATCTCCTCTTCCATGGCGGCCTTCACCGCCGGGCCCTTCCAGCTTGCCAACGCCTCCTTCACCGTCATCGTTGAGATGTCCCAACGGTGCTCGGGGTCGGCCTGCATGTCGGGGTCGAGCTCCGGAAACTCCTCATCTTCCTCTGCGTCATCGTACAGCAGGTCATCACCGTCCACGTCGTACACCGTGGTGAAGGCTGCGGGGACGAAGAAGTCAGGCGGCCTCCGAAGTCGGCCTGTACGCCGTGGTCCCGGCTGAGCCTCCTCGGCGTCCCCTTCATCGTCGCTGTCCTCGGCGTCCTGCTGCACCTCAGTCGGCGTCCCAGCCGACTTCTCCCCTGTGGTCGGCTCCCCTGTCGACTGCCCGGTCGCCGACTGCTCCTTGGTCGGCGTCGCTGCTGCCTGCTCCCCTGTCAGCTGTTGTTCTGCAGGCGGCGTCTCCTTCACCGGCTTCACCAAAGTCGGCTGCACCACCTGCTGCCTCCCAGTCGGCGTCAGCTTCGCTCCCACGCCGACTTGCACGGCATCACGTCGGCCACCGGGGATGCTTGGGGCCGGCGCCACAGGTGACGCCCCACTTCTCCCCTCATCACCGGAGGCCGACGTCGGGGTCAGCCCATGCAAGTCGGCAACAAGGGGAGGGGCAGGCGAAGGGCAGGGTGCGTGGACATCCCCGGCGTCAACACCAGCAAGCTCACCGACCTCGGCGAGCAGTGGCAGCGTCGCCGTCGAGGTGTCCGTGGGCGGGTGGACCGGCATCCGGCCGGACGCCGGCTCGTGCGCCGACTTCCACACCTCCAGCGACAAGCTCTCGTAGAACACCACGTCCGACGTGGTGACCACCCGGTTGTCGGCGATGTCGAGGAGCTCCCAGCCCTTGCTCTCCTCTGACACGCCGAGGTGAAGGCCCCACCGGGCCTTGGGCTGCAGCTTCCCACCACGCTGCTGCTCGGGGACCAAGAACTGCGCCATGCAGCCCCACACCCGTGCCAGCGACAAGTCGGGCTTCTTCCCGGTGAGCAGCTGGTACGGCGTCGTCCCCGGCGGCAGCGCCGACCGCTCAAGGCAGTTGCGGACCCAGACGGCTTGCCGCAGAGCTAGGTGCCACCAGTGGTGCTGCACGCCCATGTGCAGCAGCATCGTGAGCACCGACTCCACCACAGTCCTCATCTCCCTCTCCGCCATGCCGTTCTGCTGCGGGGTGTACGGGCAGGTCAGGTCGTGGACGATCCCCTTGCCGTTCACGAAGTCGGTGAACTGCTTCCCGAGGAACTCCCCTCCCCGGTCAGAGCGCAGCATCAACACCGACTTCTGCGTCTGCCTCTCAGCCACCGCCAGCCACTGCACGAACTCCCGCAACGCATCTGACTTCTTGGCGACCGGCCTCACCCACACGTAGCGGGTCTTGCGGTCCTTCAGCAGCAAGAAGTACAGGCTACCATCCTTGGCAGCCACGCGAAACGGCCCGCACAGGTCGATGTGCACGACGGCCAACACTTCGTCGGCATCGGAGCCTTTGTCGGGGAAGGTGTGCCGCGCCAGCTTCCCGCCGACGCACGAAACACACGGTGAGTCGGCGCCAGACGCCGACTTGAGGTCCAGCCCGGTGGCGACCTCGTGCTTCGCCGAGCTCCGGATGGTGTCCATGCCGACGTGCGCAAGCCTCGCGTGCAGTTTGTCCGGCGTTGCCTTCGTCCCCGAGACGATCGCCCGCAGGGCCACGACCTCCGTGGTGGGCGTCGGCTGCTTGGCCGAGCAGGGGCGCAGGTCGGTGCAGAGTACACGCCCGGTGTACGTTGCCCGGCCGAGCACCTCTCCCGCCGCTGAGACGAGGAGCATCCCGTCGCCGTCCTCCTGCAGCTTCACGCCGTGCTCCTTCAGCTGGCCGGCCGAAAGCAGGTTTGCCCGGACGCCGGGCACGAACAGCACGTCGGGGATGAGCACCCGCTTCCCGGCCTCCCCTTTCAGAGCGACAGTGCCGCGGCCCTGAACGTCCTGCAGCGCCCCATTGAAGCCGCGCACGTGCTTCACGTCGCCGCTCGGCCCCAGGTCGATGAAGGCCTCCTTCGTTCCCATTAGATGGTGCGAGCAGCCGCTGTCGAGCAGGACCACCGCCGGGTTCGCCTGCACAGCTGCCGCCACCGCCTGGAAGTCCTCACCGGCCTCCGGCGCCAGCGAGACGGTCGGTTCCACGACGCCGACCAGCGAGCACGACGCCGCCTTGTCGCCTCGCTCCTTGCCGCCAGCAGAGGAGTCGACGTCCTTCGCCGTGGTCGACTTGGTCGACTGCTTCTCCTTGTGCGGCTGGTTTCCTCGACGGGGACGACGGTTGGCCGACCTCCCGCGGCCTCCCTTGGCGTCGTCGTCGTCGGTATCGCTGCGGTCGGGGCACTCGAAGGAGAGGTGATCGGGGTCGCCGCACAGCCAGCATTCCCGGCGTCGGCCTCCTCCTCCACGACCACTATCCTTAGCCGACTTCTTCTTGTCGGCATCCTTGCTCGGCTTCCACCCGCTGCTACCACCTCCGCCAGGCTGCCCACGCTGCCCCGGTCGGCCTCCTTGCCTCGCCGGGGCGACGAAGTTTGCCTGCGCCAAGAGCTCCTGGGACCGCTCGGCCTCCTGCATTGCCTCGTCCTGCAGGATGTACGAGGTCAAGTTGTCCTCGTTGAGCGTCGTCCTCGTGCTCGGCGCCATTGACAGCCGCTTCAGGAGGTTGTAGCTGCTCGAGAGTCCCTGCATCACGTGGGTGACGTACGACGCCGTCGAGTATTGGGCACCGGCCATCCTGATGGTGGCAAGAATTCGCCGGGCTCGGTTGCAGTAGTCGGTCGCCGTCTCCTCGTCGCCCATACGCAGGTGCGTCAGCTGCCCCTCCAGCTGGGAGATGAACAAGTCGTCGGTGACTTGGTAGGTCGACTCAATGAAGTGCCACGCCCGGTGCCCGGCGTCTAGGTACTCCCGGCACCAGTTCAAAGCAATCTGCACGCCCGGCGAGCAGCACCGCGAGATGACCGTGAAGGTCAACAGCTGCACGGCGCGAAACTCCGCTCGTAAGTCGGCGTGGTGCTCCTCCGGCGTCGCCACGGTCCCTCGGGCGAAGCCAATCAGCCCGCCCATCTCCAGCTGGGGCTCGATGGCTTCCTTCCAGGTGAGAATGTCCGGTCGACCAACGAGTGGCGGGGTGACCAAGATCCTGTCCGGCGTGAACTTGAAGTAGCCGTAACTCGGTGCAATCCCGCCCGCCGTCACCTGGGTCGCAGACATCGGCGACACTCCACTTCGACGCCCACCGGCGTCGCCCTGCGAGGAGTCTGCAGCCGCCGACGACTGCATCCCTCGCGCCTGAACGCCGCCGGCTTCACCGGCGTGTATCACACCTCGCTGCCTCGACGTGCCTCCCGCACTGCTGCCGACCTGGCCTCCACCGGCGTTGACGCCCACGTCGACGCCGCCGTCGTTGTTCACCGGTCGAGGAGAGGCAGGCCGAGAAGGGGGGTGCTCCGCCGCCCACATGTGGCGGAGTCCTGCCTCGACGACTGCCCAGGGTATCGCCCCGTACTCCTGGGCCTCATGGCGTCTCCTCGCATCCTCCATCACCTCGGCGTCACCTACGCGCACGCTAGTGACTGCACGGCTGCCGGCCTACGAACACAATCGGTGCAAAGTCGGCTAGACTGAACTTCGTCGCGGTGTCGTCCACGCTCACCGCACCATGCGGAGATAACTGCAGCAACGGGAGCTAGGCTGCGGGCTAGGCACGGGTGCTCGTGTGATCTCTGCGTTTGTTCGTTCCTTAGTCGTTTCCTTGTGCGCACACACTTGCTAGTTCACGGGGAAAGTTGGCAAGAGTTTCACTAGGAAAAAAGTTCAGAACAATGGTTAGCAACAACATTGGCAACACAGACTACATCAGAGCTAGCTAGGCAGCATGGTCGACCGCGCTCCAGCGCAGCAGCGCTCGCACCGCTCCAGCGTTGCAGAGTAGCGGTGCGCCAACGTTGCAAGTCCATGGCATGCCAACGCTGCAGCAAGTCAGCTGCACAGCGTTGCACCCTCAGAACAACGGTGCACCTGCTTCGCAGGTGCACGCAGCTGGTTGGTGCACTCGTCCTTGTCACGTGCATAGCGCAGACGCCTGGCAGACTCCACGCCAGCAACTGCGCCCACCAGCCACGTCGACCTCGGGATACCACCCCCGAGGTCGGCCTCGCAGACTCCACCCCGGCGACACTCGCGCACGTCGCCTGGGTATCCCGGTCGACCGGGCAACCGCGCCTGGTCGACCAGCTCAGTCCGTAGCCGGCCACACACATGCCCGGCGTCCCCAGTCCGGCGTCCAGACGCCCAGGACGCCGTCCAAACTCCCAGGTCGGCGTCCAGACGCCCAGGACGCCGTGCAGACGTCCAGGGCGGCGTCCAGCCTCCCAGGACGCCAACCAGGCGTCCAGGTCGGCGTCCGGGCCCCCAGGACGCCGTGCAGACGCCCAGGTCGGCGTCCAACCTCTTGGGACGCCGTGCAGACGCCTAGGTCGGCGTCCAGCCTCCCCTGACGCAGTCTAGGCGCCCAGGACGGCGTCCTCCTGCTCGGCGCCCTCCAGTCAGGCGCCCTCCAGCTCGGCGCCCTTGCAGTGGCCCCCGTGCCCACTGCTGTTGGTCGGCTGCACCCCCCGTACGCTCGACCACAAGGTCGGCTCCGCCCAAGCGAGGACGGGGCCACACAACACTCCCGTTGACAACCACGACCTGCACCTATTCCAAAACCCTGCCCAAACCCATAACCCCCGAACTTATACTTGCATGTGCTCCTGTTGTGACCGTATTGCTCGCACCTCCCGCACTTGTAACCCTGGCCTCTAGCCTCCATACGCTCGTTGTTCTCTGGGCGACCAACCCTTGTTGCAATCAGGTGTGGTGCGTCACACACACCTCCTGGGGCTGGTGGGGCCTCCCGTACCAGCCTGTCCACGCATGTTCCCCATACGTCCGGGGCATACATCTTGCGCTGATTGGTCCTGGTGTAGTAGTGAGACACTAGAATCTCAGGGCACCTCTTCTTCTTGACACACAGCTCCACAGCATGTGCACAAGGAAACTTGTACTCCTGCCAGTTCCCACACTCACAGGAACGAGTAACCAGGTTGACGTTGTAGCTCCTCCATTCCACATCGTTCTCGCCTCCACGAGTCTGGATTGTCCCAGCATCATCAGTTCCTCCTAGGAAGAAGTACTCCTGACCACGCCTCATCTTGATCGCCATTCGGGTTGCTGCTGCTGGCGTTAGATGATCGTCTCTTTGCCAAGCTTCAGCGCGACGCTCATACCACTTATCCCTAAACCAGTCCCACAAAGACGCCAGCAGCCAAGTAGGGGGCAGCATCCTGATTTTTTTGACTGCTCCGTTGAGCGACTCCGCAGCGTTGCTCGTGTAAATCCCAAACCTGCGGGTTGTGGCAAAAAGCCTGGCCCAGTGCAATAACTGAATACCGCCTATTCTGTACCGTGATCCTTGTCTGTTGCGATGGAACCCGGTCTGCACATGAATGCCCCCCTCCTCCTCGTCCTCGCCGTCACCCGCTCCTGGAACTCCTTCTCCCGGCACGTCCTCCTCATCCCCGTATCCCGGTTCATCCTCTCCTGCATGAAGGGCAGCGCCATGCGCCCCGGCCATGGGAGAGCCAGGATCTCTGTGAGGCCGGCATGCAAGTGATCATCGACATCCAGCGCCGAATGGCGCCAACCTAGCTGCACCCCGGTCTGCGGTTGCGAAGAGACTTCGTTAATGATAGTGTCTGCCCAGTAACCCTCACGTGCTCTCATGTAAATTGCACCCATGTTGAACGGTCCACCCATTCGTGTGGCACCTGGTGCGACGGGGATTCGTCCATCAGCGGCCACACCCCCAATCGGTGATCCACCACCACCACCTTCTCCGGCAAACCAACCTGCAGGTCCCGTACTTCCAGCACCGACACCCACCCTGGCACCTACACCCTCATCGTGGTCGCGTCCCCCGCTTCCAAGGCACATGCCCACGCTGCCATAACGAAAGCCACTCCCTATGCCTGTAGTGAAACCTGGCCCCATGACCACACCTCCTAGCCCTCCTCCCGTGCTCATCCCCAACTCCGCCCCTCCCACCCTGGCTCCTGTGCCCATTCCCAACCACCCACGACCCATCCCAGCTTCTGTCTCAAAACCCAACTCCCTCCCTCCCATCCCCACTCCTGCGCCCATTGCAGCTTCCCCTCGCCCCATCCCTGCTCCAGTCCCCGCTCCCAACCCCTCACCAGGGAACCCTGATCCAGACCCCATTCCCAATCCCCCACCTCCCGTTTGAAGACCAGTCCCCATGCCCACCCCTCCCACTCCTGCTCCAGATCCCACCCCGCGGCCAACACCTGAAAACCTGGCTGCCGTACCCACACCCATGCCCAGTCCTCCGAATGCGCCTCCAGATTCCATACCCTGGCCAAAGCCACCCATGCCTTCTGCAGTCCCCGCCCCCATGCCCACCCCTCCCACTCCTGCTCCAGATCCCACCCCGCGGCCAACACCTGAAAACCTGGCTGCCGTACCCACACCCATGCCGAGTCCTCCGAATGCGCCTCCAGATCCCATACCCTGGCCAAAGCCGCCCATGCCTTCTGCAGTCCCCGCCCCCATGCCCACCCCTCCCACTCCTGCTCCAGATCCCACCCCGCGGCCAACACCTGAAAACCTGGCTGCCGTACCCACACACATGCCCAGTCCTCCGAATGCGCCTCCAGATCCCATACCCTGGCCAAAGCCGCCCATGCCTTCTGCAGTCCCCACACCCATGCCAACACCTCCCATAACTCCTCCAGATCCCGTCCCATGGCCCGCACGTCTCATCCCTGTTCCACCCCGTCCCCCTCCCACTCCATACTCATGTCCCGCCCCTAACCCTCCAAACATTTCATCAGCCCCCAGTCCGGTGCTTGCGCCCTCCATTCGCGTCCCATTACCAACCCCAGCGAATCCAGCAAGAGACCCCCGCCCCAAGCTGGCACCTCCTGACCCTGATCCCAAGCCGAACCCCCCTAATGCGACTCCGGCTCCCATCCCCATGCCCACCCCGTCGACTCCAGCCGTACTCTCCTGCGTTCCCAACCCAACGCCGCCGGGAGACAAACCGTCGTTGCCAGTGCCTCCCAGCTTGTTCTCCCCGTGGTGTTGTCCGCTAGATTATGGCATCCCAACCCCTGCAATGGGGCCTCCATCACCGCCACCATGCGCGCTGCTACTACCACCGACACCCTGTCCACTCTCCAACCCGAACCGTGTTCTTGTTGCAGCAGACCTTGAGCCCCCTTCACTCCGGCCATTGCCAAAGCCTCTGCTGCCATTAGGCCCAAACATCCCGAACCCTGTCCCACTTCCGACACCCAAACCACCCCCCCCAAACTGAAAAGCGCCCGTGCCAGGCGTGCCGCGCGTACGTGCTCCACCCCATGTACCACCGGGAGCATCATCCCCTGACGAATCACTCTCTAAGCCACCTTGCACCCCCGTGCTGCCGGCCCCTCCTCTGAAGGTCCGCCCAAAGACGTGAGCGTTGGGAGCATTGATGCCACCCCTCCCCGCCATTCCGCCACCAGCGCGGTTGAACCGGGCTGTGCCGGCATCCGGGACGCCCATGCCACTTTGCGGCTGATTGGGGCTGCTAAACCCACCAGCTGGAGGTCCGTGGCGGGCGTTTCTGGCCTCTCGTCGTCCTTGGCGGCCAGCTTCAAAAACGTATGCTCTCGTGCCCTCGTACGTTGAACGCGCCTGTGGGGGGGGCTGAGCATCAGACGGTGGGGGGACGCTCTGTGCGGGTGGCTGCTCTGGGCCAAAAAGGTACAGTGCCATTTCCGGGAAGAGGTGTCTGCATGCCAAAACCAGGGCGACCCACTTTATCAAGCTCCGGCACTTCACCAACCTCCAGAAGTATTTCTGCGCCGCTTCTTTGAATCGCCTTAGATTCTGCTCGAGATGCCATGCGCAGAAGTAATGAGGGATGTGACTTGGCATCACCTCTCGAGCTGCGGGAACCAATCCCTTATCCCGGTCGCTGATGATCGAGGCGTGCTTCCGCTGCGTCCACTCAGGAAACCCATCAATGAAGTGCTTCAAAAACCACGTCCAGGACTCCTTGTTCTCCGACTCCACCAACCCCTATACCAGCAGTAGGACTTTCTGGTTCCCATCGAGCGTAACTGCGACAAGCAGTACTGCCTTCTGCGCGCTGATGAGGTGGGTCCCGTCAAATGCAATGACTGGACGGCAGAATCTGAGCGCATGCCGGGCAGCAGAAGGCCGGACAAAAAAACGGTGGAAGAGTCCACCAAGGGTATCGAGATGCACCTTCACCCCCGGGTCTATCACCTTGAAACGGTCGACTAGCAGTGGAACCTGCCGGAAGGACTCCTTCCAATCCCGAACATCTCCTTGATGATGTGTTCCCTCAGGCAACATGCTTGCCAGTAATGGATTTCGACCCCCCCTTTACCCTCCATGAGTTTCATCAGCTGAATGGGTGCAATGAAGGGCTCGGCGCGCACCATGTTGCCATACGCTCGCAGTAACACTGGTAGCTTGTTAACGATTGCTAAGGCGTACTCGTACCGCGCCGGTGCCGGGCAGTTATGGGTCTCCGGCGGGGTGAGGGTCGTAATGCGCCAGTACCCAGTGCCACGATCCAACGAATATGCGCAGTTCCAGAAACATTCCACGCCCGGCAACTTATCAGCAACGGCCTTACACCCGACCACCACATATCGCTTCTTCGTCGCCAGCATATGATAACCGAAGTGGTGCTGGAGTGCATACTCCTGCAAAGCCTCGAAACACTTATCTCGCGATGAGTAAAGCCCGCCTTTCTCGAGTGGTGCCCGATCGTTGGGCGTTTCTAGACGGGGATCGAAATCTGGGACAGAATGCAGTTGGCGGAGGGCTTTCAGTCCGGGATTAGACGCCATGATGGCTAGCTCCCGGCAATAAGTCGACGCCTAAACCGTTGACATATAGTAGTAGCAGTAGCATAACTAACTGTGAACCTCGAACACTAGATCTGAAAGTCTATGTGAAGTGTTAGACGGGTGGAGCGTTTCAGTGTGTATGCATCCTTGAGGGCGCGGTACAACCGAGCTAGTACCAGCATTACGAACGAAACCCGCAAATGTAGACTGGTTAGAAAGGGTACAATTGACCTACAGTGGGGCGCGATGTGGTACTTGACGTCGCCCAGGGCTAGAATTGGCACCCTAAACCACCCCTGTACCGCGCCCTCAAGAATTTGGTCACCGCCTAGACAGGTGGTGATGAGGAACGATGTAGCGACCGAGAAATGAGATCTGGAAACAAATCCACCGCCCTCACGCAACTGCGCATCATGACTGCCTGCAACTTCGGAAGAAGACAAATCCTACGAAAAAATTGCAATCATTGAATCTGGATCGCGTCTGATGCGCATCACCCTAAAGCGTGGAATATCAGGGACTCTACCGTGGTAAAAAAAAACGTACACGGAGTGACCAGACGATGATGGCCGGTGTAGAAACAAGTGGAACTCCACGGGATTGAGCGATACCAGAAAGGGGGGAACGTGGTGCGAGGGTACTCCACAGGATTGAGGGAAAATAAAAAACGGACGCGTCGCGCAATTATTTCAATTTTTTGTCTGACCTTGTGACGTCAGCAAGAAGAACGGCTCGTACATAACAGACTCGTGAGCCTCTCGAACAGAGCCGTGGTACAGTTCTCCGCAAGGCATGTCGGTTCGCAAGGAACAAGACTCTCGCACTGTACAAGTTTGAACCTTCTGATCCGCATTGAGGCCATGGTGCGTTGGCATGATCGTCCCTGATCTGTGGAGGGACACAACGGCCTTGTTCTGCAGGCGCATCAGCCCGGATGGCTAGACCAAACAAGGGTTCTTGGATCCTTCTTGATAACCTGTTGACGGGTTATCGAGGCTCGCAATAAGCGTATGACTACCGAAGCAAAACAAACCAAAATGCCTGCAGAACTCTTGTAGTTTGATAAGGACGAGGAAGGGTAAATGTTGAATGCAGAGAAGGAAATGACTTTAAAGCCCGCGGCCAAAATTGCGGAGCGCGCGGGTCAAGCTTTTAAAACCAACGCACCAGCAATGAAATACGAGGGCAGGCTGGGTTTGGCGGAAAAAACGAAGAAAACGAAATCGGAATCACTCGCCAAACCCCAGACCAGAAAAAACCCCTCACGTCAACTTCTTAAAACTTGTGCAATTTGGGCCAACGGCTTTAAACGAGAGGGTATCTAAACAACAAAGAACATATTAAGAGTGAGAAGAAACGAGGAATGGAAATGACTAAGGGAAAGTTGGGTACAAATACAAACCCTAGAAAACTGTACCCCATATGTGCTACCCCACTATAGCCTACAGTAGCTCTGTCATATAAATCTGACACACCCCCATAGGCAAAGTGGGGGAGAACAAGGGGTCACAAGACCAGTCAAGCAAAGCAAAGCAAGCTCAGGGTGGATCACAAAGTCACCACACATTCCGAGCACAAGTTCAAGGCCACAAGGCCAGTTCACATGCAGGATTACATATGTATATAAGGCTAGACAAGCAAGAGCAGGTGTATATATATATATGCAACAGTACAAACAAGGTCAAGGGGTGAGCAAGTGAGGCAAGGTAGGCACAAGGCCCAGCTGAGTACAGAAACGCTGATGATCACAAGGCGCAAGTGCCTTGGTGAAGATATCAGCAGTGTTGGCCTGAGAGGCCACGTACGCAAGCCGCAGCTGACCACGCTGCTGTAGCTCACGAGCAAGGAAGTAGCGGAGAGCAATGTGCTTCGTTCTGTGCTCCAGTCTCTGCTCTCGACACAAGGCCAGCATGGCCTTGTTGTCTACGTACAGCACTGGAGGAGAACGAGGCGGCTCTCCGAGGTCAGTCAATAGGTAGGTGAGCCAGCGAAGCTCCTGTGCAGCCATGGCCCCGGCGTAGATCTCAGCCTCACAACTGGAGCCGAGAACAGAAGACGAGCGGGTAGCCCGCCACGAAACAGAGCCGGAACCAAGGCTGAAGGTGTAACCCTGTGACGACCGCTGCGTAGCCTGGTCGTCAGCCCAAGAAGCGTCTGCGTGCCCAGTGAGGACCACTGGACTCTGCCCTCCAAGCACAAGCCCCATGCCCGACGTACTGCACAAGTAGCGCAACACCCTCTTTGCTGCAGCCATGTGCTCCGGTCTGTGTCTCCCAGGAGCAACATAGCGTGCGAGAATGCTAAGAGGGTATGCAAGGTCAGGTCGTGTGCAGGTCATCAGGTACATGAGGCAGCCAACAAGCTCTGGGTACGGGCCACTCGACTCTACGGACTCATCCGAAGGCAGAGCTGAGAGCGAGTGGCGAGTAGGCAGAGGAGTGGCCTGAGGCGAGGAGTACGTGAAGCCGAAGCGCTGAAGGACCTGCTGCACCATGTGTGACTGATTCAGGGTAATGGTGCGGCGTGCTCTGTCCCGGGTGATCTGCAAGCCAAGGTAGCTGCGCAGTTCACCCAGGTCTGTGCACGTGTGTCTCTTCTGCAGCTCGGACTTCACGTGGGCGAGTCCAGCAGTGTCAGCTGTGGCAAAGACCAAGTCGTCGACGTACACGAGGATGTAGAACGGCGGCAAAGAAGTGTCGGTGCGCAGAAACAGCGACGGGTCGGCAGTAGAGGGAGCAAACCCAAGAGCCGCAAGTGTAGTCCTCAGTGTGTCGTGCCACTCACGCGGTGCCTGGCGGAGACCGTAGACTGGCCGCCGGAGGCTCCACTGGGTGCCAGGAGGAAAAGACCCAGTGAAGCCAGGTGGGCGACGCAGCCAGATCTCCTCGTGCAGGCTGCCCTGCAAGAAAGCAGTGCTGAAGTCAAGAGCGTGCAGCTCGTAGTCACGGTGAGCAGCTATGTGCAGCAGTACCCGAAGAGTGGTCATCTTCGGGGTGGGAGAGAAGGTCTGAAAGTAGTCAACTCCCTGCCGCTGACTGAAGCCACGAGCCACGTAACGCGCCTTGAAAACAGGCGGAGAACCCGGCGGCCGCTTCACCCTGAAAATCCACATGCCACTGACGATGTTCGCCCCAGGCGGGGGAACCTCGTCAACGTAGGTGCCTGTGGACTTCCAGGAAGCCATCTCTGTGTCCATAGCTGCCTGCCACTGAGAGGAGTAGGGACCCTCTATCGCCTCCGCGTAAGAGCGCGGAGTCGGGATGTCAAGTGCATCCGGGTCTCCCTCAGGGGTAAGCAGTACGGACACGAGATGAGGTGAAGCAGCAGCCAAACACTGGAACTCCTCCTGCCTGTCCTCAAGGACGTCCGTGCCAAGGGCACACTCACCCCCGACGGACGGAGGACAGACAGACTCAGACTCAGCGACAAGACAAGCAGCGTAGTCTAGACGACAGCGAGCAGCAAAGTCGACGAGCTCAGCAACTAGGGCAGACGCAGCAGTGGACGCAAAGGAAGGGTCAGTGACGACAGTAGCAAGGAGACGCGTGACAGTAGGACTGGCAGCACGAAGAGAGTCCGACTCCGGGTCGGGAAGAGCAGGAAGAGAGGACTCAGGAGGAGAAGGCAAAGGGGCACGCAGAGGAGCAGTGGACCGACGCAGAGACATCCGGTGCGTGCCAGGGACAGGAGGAGGACGCTGACGCGAACCACGACCACTAGCGCGAGCAGTACGGACAGGCGACGCAGGACGCGACGCAGGCTCACGACGCTCAGCAAGACCTCCAGTAGGACCAGTGTAGGGAGAAGGAGCGGGCAGTGGGGAGGCCGGCTGTAACTGGAACTGTGACAGGACAGGCTGTGGACACTCTAAGGGAGGAGGAGGACCAGTAG